CCCCCCCCCATAAAACCATTAAATTATTACATCCCTAGTTACAAGTCATACACAATGCTACAACTTCTGCATTACATAAAAAATAAACATTCAAAATCACATATTTATTAACTTTTCTTTATTATTTCTTTTCATGGGGTGAATTTAAGATGATTTGAAAAGAAAAGAAGGTGAGAGTGGATTGTTTATATTAAAAAGAAATAATGTGGTTTAGATTCAGTTTTTAAATATTTGTATATGATGTATAATTATATTATATATAGAATAATTATATATATATATATCTTCTCTCTCTACTCTCCTCTCTCTCTCTCTCTCTCTCTCGCTGCTCGCTTCACCCCTCTTTTCCTGGCCCCCCTTCTCTGCTTCCTCTCTCTTTTTTCCCCCTCCGTGTGTTCTCTCCATTCGCTCTCCCTATTGTCCCCTTCTGTTCCCCTTCCCTACGTTCTTCTTTCCCCTTCCCAACCTCCTCCTTTTTCTTCTGCCTCTCTTCTCCTTCTCTCCCTCTCCGATATTAGAACCCATCCAACTACTCCTATTAGAACCCATCTTACAAGGCACCGTTATGCCGCACCTCCATACCAAACCAGTAACGGCACCATCAAGCCATATTACTATGGACTTTGTCAGAACGCGACAACCTCCATAACCATCACCTTCTGTTTTCTGTTTTTTTGTTTTCCTTTTTCGTTTTTCCTTTCTTCTTTCTCCTCTCTCTCTCTCTATATATATATATATTTTCCTCTCATGCAATAAACATATATGCAATATACAAAAAGTTTTCTTTTACATTTTTTCTACGTTTTCTCTTCCTCTACTCCTAGGTTCGTGTTTACGTGTTTTAAAACAGTCTGTTCTCACCATACATATAGCCCTACACGTTTTACGGTACCAAGTATGATTGCACATACAAGTTCCCTTCCAGCATGGCTTACGATGATATCAGAACTCTTCTTTTGAAGAGCTCTCTTGTGCTAAACTCTGACTTCTTTTCTCTTTTCTTTCTGTTTCTTTTCTTTTGTTATCTTTCAGTTTATTGCATCATGTCTCAAGAATATAACAACTCCTCAAGTTTTTCTTGTACCTTTATCCTAGTGAGAGTTCTGCTATATTTCTTGTATCCCTCTCTGACTCCAACAACTATCATGCATGGATAATTCCTGTCCCACCGCTGGCGCCAAAAACAATGCATTTTCATTGTTACAAAGTTTTTTTTACCCACCTTCGTATTATGGATAACTAGAAACCTTTCGACCACTTGTGAATAAAATGTTCTTGTAAGATGTTGTCAACCATTGTCCAAAAAAAAGCATGAGATCGCGCCCTACAATTTCTTCGTGCTTGAACACATAGTACATAATTTTCAATTCACATTCTTCTAAGGGATCTCATTCACCCTATTTCAAAGATATTTTCCTATGCTATGCAACAAGAATGAATAATGACTTTCTTAATAATCTAGAAATAAAAAATGTTGTTGTTGTCCATACTATAAAGTGTTCTCATTGTGGAAAAACTAGACACACTAACTCAGTTTGCTTTAAAAAGCATGACTTCCCTACCAGCAGAAATCCGAGCAAATAAAAATCATGTTTCCTCTCATTGTGGCAAAAATGGGCACACCCATTGATTGGTTACTATAGAAAGCACGATTTTTCCCCCTGAACATAAATTTCACAATGGAAAAAGTCTCCTATCCAGAAGCCAAGAATTACGAAATGATGTCCCGGAGAAGCTTCAGATCATTGAAGTGCGTCTGACACAACAACAATATCAGCTCTCATCAAACTTAACAGAGAGGTAATTTCAGATTCCCAAATCAGTGCCACAGTTTCTAACCCCCTGACACCGGTAAAAGTATTTTCAATTTTAATACTGATAAATGTATTGCTTCTTGGATCCCGGATTCTCGTGCCACTGATCATGTTGCTTCTTCTCTTGGTCATTTACATTCTTATGAAAAAATTAATCCTGTCACCATCAACCTACCTAATCTCAAAATAACAAAAGCCACCATAAAACGGAGTGTCCAAATTTGTGATAAAATCTTTTTGAAAGATGTCCTTTTCATTCCAGATTTTTGTTATAATCTTATTTCTATATCAAATTAGTTGCACATAATAACATTCACATAATCTTTACTAACACAACATGTTTTCTACAGGACTCCATAACACACAACAAGATTGGTTCAGTTGAATCACATGTTGGCTTATACATTTTTCGTGGTATCAGAGCCACTTCCTCCATCAAATTTTTACAATATCACATCCAAGCTTGGCATCATCAACATCTACGAAGCTTGAGGGGGCTGTCAGACCACATTAAAATCTGATTCACAGTCTCTATAACCACCTTTTGTTGCTTCTGTTTTTCTATTCTTCTTTTTTGTTTTTCGTTTCTTTTTTCTCTTATATATATATATACATCTTGCTCTCCTGTAATAAACGTATATGCAATATACATAAAGTTTTCTTTTACAGTTTTTCTATGTTTTCTCTTCCTCTGCTCCTAGGTTCGTGTTTAGCAACCTGTTCTTCACCATACATATAACCATGCACGTTTACGGCACCAAGCATGATTGCAGCATACAATTTTCTTCCAGCATAGCTCTTCTATAAGACTTTACCATGAGCATGAAACTAGAAACATCACCGAGTCACTAGCACCGCGAGTAAGAGATCCTGGAAGCATGTGAAAAAGGGGAGAATCAATTCTCTGATCGAATCTATTACGTAATTTTGAGCACATTGCAAAATCGATTCTTTGGTTTTCAGGGGAGAGGCGAATCGATTCACCTTAGCCATTTTGCATTGTTTCAACTCCCATAATTGATTCCTTCCTTGGGAGAATCAATCCCTAGCTTCTTCTTCATCACTTTTGTCCTTCAAACTTCAAAAACTCGACCCAATCCAAAAACAAGCAGAGAATGCATAGAAATGTTAAATTGTGAGGATGGTATAAGTAAATTCAAAAACAATGACGTAGCTTTCCCTAGGGATATCCTCACTTCAGTGAGTACAAAGACTTTATACTCAATTGCAAATCAACATTTTGAAATCAATTCAAATCAGCGGATCCAAACACAGTTGACACCCGCTTTTCTATCTGTAATTAATTCTTTTGAGAGATGAATTAATGATAAATAAATTTAGAAATAAAGGTTTTATTGAATAATTTATTGGATAAATAATTCTTTTTAATAAATTAATATATAATTATTATATATATATAAACCAAACAGAGAATCAATCCATAATCGATTAGATCACTCGCCTAGAATCGGTTTCATAAGTGATTCTTTCACCCACATGAACATGAATTTCTCTCTCACTTGCAGACTCTTCTCCTTGCAAAGGTAGGTGGCTTCATTAATTCTTCTCAGTTTTATATTTGAGATAATTTTTTCTGAATTAGTATGTATTAACTAATACAACTTTAAAACTTCCTATTTTTTCTAAAACATACTCACACCAGTTAACAATTTTAGTAAACAATAGGCCATTAAAAACATCATAGAAACTTACTAAAATCATTTAGTAAAGTACTCCATTTTGGTACTTTAACAATAAAAAAATGAATGTCAATAATATGAAATATTATAGAAAAACTTAAATATTCCATTTTAATTAATTACACATACATTGTATTGCATGAAACTTGAGATAAGGTTTGACATGTAGCTGAAGGAGTTTTCATTCGCAAACAAGCATTCTAAGACTCAAATCCTGTGCTGTTTTTTTTCTTCTGAGAACACACGGATTAACTTTTGCATGTGCGCAAACGCGTAAGGTGATGAAAAAGGGAAAAATGTCTGCATTTTAAAATTTCAACGAACATTGAAATAAACAAGCACTTACTTTCTCACTCTAAAAAGGTCAAATCTAATCCAAGCACACGCTGTACTATTTTCTTGAACGGTTAAATACAAGTTTGCAATCCTACTAAACCTGTATTAATATTACAAATACAAAAATCAAAGGCAGGTAGATTAAATTAAAAAATAAAAGGTTGCCATAATAAGACGTATCTAGCCCGTTGGAACATAGCATCTGGCTAGTATGATTTAGTCTATTCAGTGCACACTTTAGCACATGCCTCATTAACAATTGTTCAAGTACCCTTTTCCACCAATCAGGGAAAATCAAGTTCTAAGCCTTACCCCCTACAAATTAAACTGCAACGTTTGCAATTCTTCTATCTCGTCCGGTGCTTTCTGGTTCTATCGTAGAGTACAGCAATGATATAAAACACATGAAAGATCAGAATGAGGTGCGCTTCTTTGTATATTCTGTATCAATAAATATCACATGAGTCCAAAGATCAAATTCACCTGAATATTTTAGTACCAAAAGTAAAAGTTAAAGATTACAGATTCACATTTATGTAAGCTACTGTAGTTATCAACAATTGAGTTGATATTGGGAGTATCAACAAAATCATAGGATTCTCCGCATAAAATGAGCAACTATTTGGACGTATAACTTGAGATTGGTTTTGTGTTAGAAAACATTTTCCTACTAGGGTAGTATGTTGTATATTATGAAGGAACTAATTACTATATTTCATCATTAACAAAGGCGTGTTGGCGTCTGCCTCTAAACACAGATGTTTTTTTCAATCTTTGTTCTTTCCTTTATTTTACTCTATTGTTTTACCCCAACCGTGAAGGACACCGTCAACATCTAAATCCGTAAACATGATCACACTCACAAATAGCACACGTGGCAGCTTTCTTGCTTCACCTAAAATCATACGTTTTGTAAACTCCATGCATGTTGCAGTATATACTTCAGCAGTTCAGCTTGGAAAACATTTTAAAAGTTTGTTTTAATAAAAAAGAGAAACCAAGAGAGGATAATTTAGTATTACGGAGAGGCAAAATACAATATAAAATTGCATAGAAGAACCAGAAAACATAAAGGAATGCTCCAAAAAGAACAAAAATACGTACACTCAATTGGAGGATAATCTACTAGAGGCTAATAATGAACTATTCCAAGCAAATGAAATACTGAAATCTCAAAGTATTTTGTGAAGTTTAATTTTTTTACCAGTGACAGATTTTATCAAGTTGCTGTATTGGAAGGCTGATTTTGGCACAACTCGGCACTCAACATATGATGAAGAAGAGTATCAACCCTCTGGCTTCGTGTTTTAGTGCTGCAGCAATAATGTTAAGAGTATAAGATCACCATCAATATACCTTCAAATAACATCTGCTTCTAAGTTCAATTAGTCTTTTACAAGGTATTAGATCGTGATTAAGTGGTAAGAAATTCAATCATTATCGTTTCATTCCTCAAAATTAACTAAATTTAAGCATAAGGTATAATGAGCCTGTGTATATATACATTTCAAGCCAAAGGGATTTTTGTTTTCAGGAGCATGTTTTGAATATGAAACTATTCTCATGCCTTCATCTTACACTTAGAAGCGTTTAAGGATGAGTTGGTTCAATACCACGTAAAGATCTATTTCGAGGTCCTAGGATTCCCACATTGGAAGTATGAATTCTAGTGGGGTATAAGGCCCTGAGCTCTCAAACTACAAAAGGTAGCTTTTGTTTTGTAGTTATTCCAAGGTTTTTATCAATTGGTATCAAAATCTTTCATCACGTCTCAGAGCTAAAAACAAGAGGCACAAATGATGACATCGGATTAGCAGGGTTCACTCAGGGCTAGTCAAAGGTCAAGCGCACTGCTAGCCTGCCTCGGGATCAGGGAAGTGTAGTCTGGTGGGAAGTTAGGATCCAATTACAACGTATGGGACATAGAGTCGCATGGAATTATAGGATTCTAGTGTGGGGCTTTATAAGACCTTGGATTCCTCCAACTACAATAACTAGCTTTGTGGTGTCGTTCCTTCCCCCAGAATTTCTTATTAATATAAAAGAGCATCTTATTTTGTGCTTTGAATCCACAAAAAAATTGAAAGCTATACATACCCAATAGACCGTTTTCGGTATTTATCTCCTTCAACATCCTGTATATAGATGAAAAATATACAACAATCAGTAACTGATGAAAAACACCAATTAGTAATTCGATAAATATAATACTAAACACAGAACACATACACTACAAAAAAAAAAAGCATATACTTGCTTTCTTAAAGACAAAAGCTCCTGCACATATTCCTCAACCCACAAACCATCAAATAACAACATACTTTCTATTATTAAGATACAATCCTAGTGAATAATAGCCCATCGTTATTTTCTCCCCAATAACTCCATCATTTAGTTTTCTAGCGAATACAAATCAACCCCAATACAAATAGTATTTCGCTGTCCATACTCAAATAATCAATTATCCATCAATCATTGGATCGTTACTAAACTTTGGTTCTCAAATCCCATCAGAAAGAGAACAAAATCATGTAGAAATCGAAAGCCACTTTTACATTCAATAAGAGACGTTACAAAGTTATCTATGGAGCTGTGAAAGTTTGTAATGCGGACGTTTACTTTTCAGAATCAAGTAATAAGCAACCTCCCAAAGTGAGGGTAAATAAAAACTGGAAAAAGATGGATAAATACCCAACATAGTTTCAACATCCATCTAACCCTCCAATTTTATTATTTTTTAAGTGACTAAAAACACTAAGAAACAAAAACCCTGAAAAATATAAATATAAAACTTAAAGTGAGATTGCTGGGGTGCTTTGATAAAATGAGGGGTCTATGTATTTTTTATTATTATCACTCATAAAAATGTGTTAGGTTCATATCAAGTTTCAATGATACCCATTACGCACTAAAATTAGTAAAACATCTACTACACAGATGCATTGATAAAATTAGGATAATGATTGTCGCATACAGTAGGGCGTGTGGATAATTACGGCTATTAAAAAAAAAAAAGTTGCAGGGAGACTTTGTTTTCATGTGGCAGACAGAGGAGTCTGTGATCGAGTGAGTACCATTACTTATTAGCATTGGAATTATTTGTGATCAGAAATAACAATGCCAAATAAGTTTGTTTGCCATTTTCCAGAAGCAGTAACTAATAAGTAGTAGCCAACCACTGATTTAAAATAACAGAATGGCAAAAGTTGCATTATTTGTTTGCAATCATTGCATTTGATATGAATCACTCTACAAAATTTGGTGCAGCTGTTTACAATTTATCGTTTAACTGAAATACTTATCATTTATTAGTCAACACTTAAACACAACTGCTTAAAAGACTTAGCCATTTATAATTCCTTATTGGTAAGAGTTCACTGTTAAATACAAACCTTGTTCGTTCCTTCAGAACTTTCCGAAGACTCAAGATCCATTTCAGCAAAGAATGCCTCCAAGACAAAAGCAATAACCTGAAATGCAGGGAAGGAAAAATCATTTCCAACTTATTAAGCATAAATAATGTGTTAATATGCTACAATTTAAGCAATGGTATTTCCTTTGATTAATCATAACAATATTAACATTTTTTAGTTTGACTTAGACTCTATGATGGATACGATACACGTCATATACACTTATTTTAAAAATAAGATGTGACAAATACATATTTAAAAATCAATAAAATCTTCAAACATGATAAATATATAATTTCAATCCTGAGATCCAAATTAAATCACAATTCTTAGATATTGCCAAAATAAAAATTATAAATCTTCGTTACTATAAAAATATTTGAGCTTCATAACTTTGGATACTTCATAAAAACGTAAGTATCCTAGAGTATCGTCACATATATATTGGAGACGGATATGGATACATTACACTAATTGAAGTATAACCACATAAGAGTTAAGACCTAACTCAATTCTAAAGGTAAACTCTTGTGATGAGGAGTGCCTAGATCAATACCAAGAAAGTCATGGTTGATTTTTGAAATGATGAGATGGCCTAACATAAGATCTATGATATGTCATCCTCAGCCTAACTCAATTCTAAAGACTATCTCATGCAATAAGGGTTGTCTAAAGCCTCATTGGTCAAATTTATAGTTAATCTGTGATCTCAACAAAAAATGACTCCTTGTTAATGCTTTCTGTTAAATAAACTATTGTAAAGAATTTCAATTGTGCATGTCCATACGAGAAACATTGTAACTTCTCAATGTTCTCATTCCTGGATATAATTCGTATTCCATAAAACTGACAAGGTATCAGATAAGGACAGAGTAAACCATACCAAGTTCAAAAGCAGCAAAACAGTAACTAAGTAGAAGCTAATGAAGTACAAATAAGTCCACGCAGTCCCAGTTAGTTCCGTGTAACTCTGAAATAGAAAACCAAAGAACCTATCCGTTAGGAAAATATGGAAATTATAATTTCAGAATACCAAAGATGAAGATATCACACAATAATTGATTAACAAAACCAACAGATATGACATAACTCATGCAGGAAGTAATCTGTGCATATTTTGGATTATTGTTCATTACAATAAGTGTTCTACAAACAACCAAGAATTGAAACGAATTATGCACAAAATGCTTGCTACTTATAATATTATTCAATTAATCTTTACTTGATCATTAGGTTTCTTCAACAAAGATGGGATATGGCCGTTGACTGAAGTCTACAAAGGGACCTACTGTCTAACAAAAGGACAAGTCTGGAATTCCTAGACAACGCCTTTTATTTCCATGTTAGCATGAAAGATAAATGAATCCATAAATTTGTAAAACACCACAACTTCAAAAAATATATACAACGGGAGGGAACTGACAGCATTTACCCAGATACCCGATTATAGTCCCTAGGGATAGAAAATGGATAAATAATTTTAATTCAGGTTATAACATTATAGATTGAAATAATCCATTTATCCATTTTGAAATATTAAAAATTCAATTGAAAAATTGAATCTACCATGACCTATTTGATATAAATCTATACATTTAGAATTTTTTCAAGGATGATAACCAGTGGATCCCCAAAAATAATACTACCTTTGGTTCTATATATAAGAAACAAATACCTAATTCATCATCACTAGAAAAAAGTAGTTAAATTGGTTGGTTTTATTAATAATTTCTTAAATTTAAATTTTATTTCAAAAATGCACGTAGAATTAAATGGCTCAAGGGATGGTCATATTTAATGACAATTCAATTAATTATTTATCAATCGATAGGAATGCCATTACATTAATGAAAAATAAACGCAGCCACTTTAATGATTAATGAGTTGATATCTCATTGATATAATTTCACAATAATGTAAGGGCATAAAATGAAATTAACAATTAATGCATTTGAAATTAATCATGTCTTTTTAAATTTATTTTGTAAAATAATTGAAACAATGTTTTAAAATATATTTTTTGGAAATTTTACAAATAAATCAAGATTTAAATATGAAAAAATTAGATTGAGTTCGTTTCATCCATTAAGTATTGATCAAATCATCCATTAGAATTTTGAATTAATAAACAAATCATTAACTATTGGTAAAGTTGAATAGATAGATGGATTCAATCTAATTTTTTATGGTAATCAATGAATTATATGCATTTACCTATGGATGGATTGATTTGTGAGAGTCACCCTTAATACTATGTACAGAGTGGTCTAAGATATGTCGTAAACTGGAATATATAAATGTATGTGTGTGTTCACAAGTACTATAGTTAGCATATCAAGTTTCTCTCATATAGCCAGCTTACATTGGATAATGTTAGTAGGATATTAAGTTTACTGATAGAAGCTGTTAGAACATTATAGAGATTTTTCTGAAATTATTTCTATAGGGCTAGAGGTCTATATATATAAATAAAGGGTGATGTATTATTTCAAATTTAATCAAGTCGTAAAGACTTTGTTCTTGTATTTTTAGTAAAATACTACTGGGACCAGAAATTTAATCAAGGCAAATCGTTATAAAACAAATAAATATATGTCACTTGCCAACGTTGGCTAGCCTGCAATAACTATTAGTCTAATTACATAATCAAGAACCAACAGATCACAGTGTAAGTCAAAAAGCATATACGTGACAGCATACATACCGTCATCACTTCATCCCAGGTTGCCGTGACAAGAAAATTGAAAAGTGTCACTATTCCATTAGGGTAATCATTGAAATTGAAAACCAAATAGCTATTTTCTGTCAAGAATGACACTCCAAGAACATTCATTTAACCTAGCAGTTATTCCATTTGTTCACAGCAAGCGATTATTCCATTTAAGAAGCAACATAAATACTAGTGTTAAATTCAGCCCTGGATGTTGACCAAATGCAACCATTCCCCCCAAAGGAAAAATGTCATATTTAGTGAGCACAATGAAGCTACACGGGCTTAAAATTTGTGTGGGTGCGAAGAAAGATATTATTATTACCAGATCCGATCAACCATTAAAAGCTACAGGAAACAATTTTATAGATGATAAAAGGATACTCATTTTCAGCAAGAGCTGTTGATTCCAATTCCGGGTTTCCAGCATTAACAATTCCACCAAAAATCTGCAGAAACAAAGATATAACAGGAGTAATTTTATTAGAAAAAAAATGAATTACATTAGTACAGAAAAGCAAAATAAATCCTTAATTTAACATGTAAATATATGTAGAAAATTATCAATCACTACTAGCATTTTACTCACCTGAACACCAAGCGAACAATAAATGCATAAGACACAAAATATGATCCCTAGGTATGGCATCAAACTTGGTATGAGAGTCAAGAAAGTTGCTACAAAGGCTCGGTATCTCTTGACATGCATTAGGAGTCTTATTAATCTCAACATTCTTGCAAGAAGAAGGTAACGAATCCTGTAAAGGAACGGGCAAAGCAATGGGTAATAGCATCTTCAAATAAACGCTACAAAACCAATGGACAAATATTATTGGCACAACTTCCCATCTTCAAATGAATATACTATTTTTTAGACATGGTAGTAACGAAAATGGTTGTTGTATCAAACTTCATTTTTCTTTAATTCTATTTTTAACCAAGAATGCTACATCCCTTTTTGAATAAAATGAAATTAGATCTACCACACCATAATACGTACATTAACGTTGGCACCTATTACATATTAACCATAGATAACCTTTCGTTCTTTTAGATAAGCACAAATAATAATAATCCAGTGAGAAATCGAAAGTAAAATTGGATAACTAAATAGAACCTAAAAGTACTGCATCTTTCCCAAGGGAAAATAATTAATAATGACAGGGTTTAAGTTTTAGGGAGAGAGTTTCTGTGACTATGATAATGAAGGTAACGTAAACACCAACATAATTAGAATTGAGAATAGATTATGCAGCTTAACTCAAACCCACAAGTTTACTGCTCAACTTATATAAGGGCTACTTTGTCTAAATAAATGTGCAGCAGATGTGGAATCCTAATAAGACTCCACACTGGAGATTTTGAATGTGAAGTTTGAAAATAATAAATCTCTGGATGGCCCAGCATTAGGAATAGGATATATTGGGAAAGTACCACTTATAATTCCAGGGCATTATTATTGCAAATGTTGGTTGCTGTTAGGAAAACAGTAAATCCAAGTGCCACTTTTTCATTAATCGATTGCACTAACTGGCATGTAGTCATCCAGTGTTACGTATCTAATAGATTGTTATCAGTGGTTTCTGCAGTGGCTGGTGGCTTGGTTCAGGTGGGATGGCTTCAATGGAGTAGGGGTGCACAATGAAGGTAAGTCAAAGGACGAAATAAGACCTGGAAAATGAATCCCTGACATGCTCACCGGAGAGGTTGGGCACCAAGAATTACTAAGAAATGAAGGCTGACGCAGAAAAAGCTGAAGAGACCCCCAAATTAGAAGATCTCTATACCAAGTTCAAAGGAAAAATCTAGAATCTTATTTTTGGATAGTCTGTTGTAATTTTTTCAATAATCACGTTACTATTATAGAATATTCAATGGCTTTGGTAATGAATACGGTCAGACAAGCGCACTGCCACCTTTAATGGCATTTCCCTTCCCAATCACGTTTTTTCACATCTACAAGACTCAAACCTAAAACCTTGTTTAAGGGATCAAGTTCAATACCTTCTTGCAAACCAACTAAGCCTTATAATTAATTTCCCACAATACAGCCAATCTGTTGGAATAAATCTATATATCTTAAGTATATCTCCAAATAAGAAAATATGGTTGCAAATCAAATAAGTATGATTAAATGGAAAACCATAAATTCATAATAGCTCAAAATACAACCATGATAAAAATAAAAAATAGAAATTTTTCAAAAAGATAATTCCTCCAAGATTAAATGTTTAAACATAATGTTCACACTATTTGGCCAGTGGATATTAGATAATGCACAAAATTCAGCTTTATACGTTTTGTATGGTTTTAAACAACTAACAGAGAGGTTTAAAGCATCAACTTAGTAAACGCAAAGCTCCATGTATAATATCTCTCCAACATTTGTCAATAACTCTAATATTTTGAATATCATAGATGAGAAGACAATACACCATTACTATGGCTGAAGGACTGCTCGGTGAAATAAATCCCAAAAAGTGCAACATTAAGCATTATGTTTCATACAGTAATTTTGGAATTATGAACCAAAAACAGAAATCTAAAACATTTGAATATTCATAGTCAAAGTGATAGCGTGAGATAGGATGACAAACAGTAGGATGGTGATGTGAGAGTTTTAGAGTGGCAGAAATGGAATGAGATATGCAGAATTAAGAATAGCAGTGAGAGTGCAAAATAAGAGAACTGAGCAATTCTCATTAGAAGCAGTGTTGCCTTATATAGGCTTGTACAGAAGTATAACAAAAACAACTAACATAACAAAGTTTTTGGATTATACACAATACTCCTCCTTAATCCAAACTTTTCAAACTTCTAACACCAACAAGGCTTCTCAAACTTTCTAATCTGCTTTGTCTCAAAGCCTTTGTGAAGATATCTGCAATTTGCTCTTCAGTGGGGCAATACTTCAATTCCAATTTACCTTTGCTAACATGATCTCTTAAGTAATGAAATTTGGTCTCTATGTGCTTGCTTTTGCCATGAGAGACTGAATTCTTTGAGAGATTGATAGCCGATTTGTTGTCCACAAGAAGTTGTACTGGTTTCTTGTATTCAATCTACAACTCATAGAGGATAGCCTCCAGCCAAGCACTCTGGCACACAATTTCAGCTGAGGCAATATACTCTGCTTCACACGAGGAGAGGGCAACAACGCTCTACTTTCTTGAACACCAGGATATTGATGCTCCTCCATACTTAAACAGATAGCCATGCGTGCTTTTTCTCTCCACTTGATCACCACACCAGTCCGAGTCACTCCAGGCCTCTAAGACTTTCTCCATGCTACCAGATCCTTTAGGAAAAAACAATCCAAAATCTGTTGTTGTTTTCAAGTATCGCAGGATGTGCTTGGCAGTGGTGAGGTGTGTGTCTGGGATCACTCATGAATCTACTCACCAACCCAACTGCAAATTTTATGTCTGGTCTGCTATTACATAAGAATCTGAGTGATCCTACAATTTGTTTGAATAGAGTTGCGTCTACCTTCTCTTCTTCTTCCAACTTGGACAACTTCAAGTTTTCCATAATAGGAACTGAGGTTCCGTTGCAGTTTAGCATGTTAAATCTCTTCAAAATCTCATTGATATATCTCTTTTGATGAATCAGGATTCCGACTTCATTCTAAACAAATTCCAGACCGAGGAAATAAGTCAAATAGCCAAGATTTGTCATATCGTATTCCTCTTTCATTCGTTTCTTGAATTTTGCGATTTCCTCCTCAAAATCTCCAGTTACAAGGAGGTCGTCAACATATAAGCATATCAGTAAGGTGCCTTGCTGTTTGGGTGATTTTACATATACCCCAAATTCAACTAGACACTTCCGAAATCCCATTCTGAGAAGCAATGCATTTATGTGATTGTTCCATGCCCGGGGTGCCTGCCTGAGTCCATACAAGGCCTTGTATAGCCTATACACTTTCTGTTCTTCACCTTTCTTCACAAAACCAGGTGGCTGTCTGACAAAAACTTCTTCCTCCAATGGTCCATTCAAGAAAGCTGATTTGACATCCATTTGGTGGATCTTCCAGC